TCTCTCTCTCTCTCTCTCTCTCTCTCTCTCTCTCTCTCTCTCTCTCTCTCTCTCTCTCTCTCTCTCTCTCTCTCTCTCTCTCTCTCTCTCCACGAGCATGTGTTTTGTTGTCCTCTCCCTGAATGAAATGCAAAGGTATAATAACTGTGTTGTCTTCAATGTCGTCCATTTATGGAATGTTGTTGTTCATATAGTGAATACTCTCACACAGTCGTCGATGGAGATCTCGTGCTTGTGTTCATTGCAAATTGTCGTCTAAATGTGGATGTCCAATCATCAGAAGTGAAGTTTTCAAAATGTGTTGTTTGTTGTTATCTTATTTCATGCCGTTGTCGATTCCTCGGTGGGGTGGCGGTTGTCGGAGGTCGAGGTGGTGGGGGGAGGGGGGGGGGGGAAGGGATTGGGTCCTTATCACGTCTCCCGCCAAACCATATCCCTCCCCTTCAGCAGCCCCCCCACCCCCCACCCCAACCCCCACCACCCCCAGATGTGCGCTATGGTTGTCGGGGGTGGTGGCGGGGTTCTTTGGGGGGATCAGGTGAGTTTCGTGCCGTCGCACTCTCGTGGTGCGAGCGTATTTTCGCCGGGGGACGTGGATGGCGACTGTTATGGGGATGGGGGTGGTTGTGGGTGGGGGGTCCTTCGCCGACGAAATTGACGAAGGGTGGCGAGAAGATGGGTGGCGGGGTCACTGGCCAGCGACAGTGTACCCCGCGACCTTTGGCCTTTCATTTCGCCGTCAGCGATGAGCCCCACGGCACCACCGTTTCGACGACAGGGCGATGGAGTTTCCGTTTAACACTCGTGCGAACTGCTCGCTCGTCGCCACGCACCAAGCAGGAGCGCGTTGTTGAGCGCATCGGTCTCGCACGGGGACCCTCCCTGCCGCGTCACGCAGGATTATGCAGGACTTGTCGCATAGAGTGTTTGCCACTCCGGCCGAGTGCGCCAGCCGTACCTCTCGCGAGCCCCTACGACAGGACAGGGTCACGTGAGGCACTCCTTACCTCCACCTGCGGGAGTTGTCACCACCCCTTAGGTGGGCGTATCCCCGCCGAGCTACTGAACCACATGCGAAAGCTTTTCGTATGCAATTGCAGAGGTGGTTCAACCGAGGGCGTTTCTCGTTCGCTGTAGCATAGGGGGTACGCGCGGTCGAACGCCCGAAATCGAACCCGTACGCGAATCACCGCACTGGGGGGCTGAAGTCCCAAACGAGACTCAGCGCTAGTCGACTAGGATGCATTACGCACGCCACGCGTTACGCTACAACACTCACACTTACCCACGCATAACACATGGAACCACACGCAATAACTCCACAAACAACACCACGATACAACAACACTCCTAGTCCCTTCAACATCTGACCCATAACGTTATGCCGCGAGAATCAGATAGGTACCGCGCGCTGGACTTCCGTATAAGAGTCTTGCGAGCGCATGACCTCCTCATATCGACCAGCCATGCGTGCATACGCAGACGCTCGCGCTAATAGGGTACCATGTGGTACTCGTAGCCTTGCGGCCCTTGATAGTCTCGAGGGTCGTGCTCGACACTCAAGTGTCGACTGACAGGCGCTTTGAGGGGTAATCTCTCGACGCCAGACAACCGCCATGTGCGGTTGAAGACCACACCCTCTTCTGCACCCTGTGCAGAGGGGTTGAGTAGACAGCTTTAGGGCTGTCGTGGTAGCCAAAATCAAAGGGGTTTGACTTTAACGACTACCACAGACTACAACATCCAACAAGAAACTCAAAAAGGAGAACAACCACCAAAAAGGAGGGACTCCGCTCGACCCATAACTTTCTGCAGCGGAAGTCGGTAACTGTCATGCGCAAGTTTCAGTATAAGATCGCGCGGACGCATGTCCTACCCATATCGATCCGCAATGCAGTCCTACGCGATTAGCTGCGATGACGATGCACTATATGGCGCCCATTCCCAAATGGCCTTATCTGAGCCGTGGGGTCGCCTTCGACGCTCAGGCGTCGACTGAAGTGCGCGCTAAGAGGGACAACCCTTTAGCGAACCCAAAACCGGTCTGAGGGCCTTACCATCTTCTGCACCCTAAGGTGTTCCTAAGCGCGCGGGGTAAGATGGTCCCTAGGGCAGAAAGGAATTCGGAGCGGTGGTGAGTTGTATGGCGCATCACCAGCGACACGCTAACCCTTCCGCCCGAAACTTTAGCGTTCCACCAAAACAAATCCCTAACAAGGAAAAGAAACGAGTATTTTTAATGCTTATCAGAGAAAACCCCTTTAGTGTTAGGCCCGGGATCTGGGTCTTCCTGGGCGAGGACCATCGTATTCCAGGCTCAGGGCACTTCGGGCCACGCTAATACCCCACATAGGTACCCATACATACGTATATATACATTTACAGGGGAATAGATATGTGACGATCACATCTCACAATCGCAATGAGACTCCTCATAGCCATACATATTTGTGAGATCGCAGGCAGTCCAATCCAATCATTCGAGCCATAGAACATACCTGTAATCACATCAAAGAGTCAAACAAAAGTCCACACACTACACAGAGTCAACTCCAACCAATCTCCATATTCACACCTCTTTGCTTTAGCCATGCAAGCCCCAACCTCCAGCCAACCAATCATAATTAAATACTCAGTACCTTTGTTAAATGGTCATTCAATAAAAGTCCGGGTAAAATCTTAATAAAACAATAAAATCACCAGGGCTAAAGCCTTTTTAGGTTGAGTATTGAGAATGAATTGGGGTTGAGTCGTAAGCCGACGAATTGACAACCGACCTGTTATCAGTGATAACAGAAGAGTGATCCTTTTGAAGGATCAGGCTGATCAGATCAAGCCTTTCAGCGAGCCACGAAAATTTGCATCACAGTACAGGCCAAAAGAACCACTACTATGTTTATGCCAAAAGGAGAATACTCCCAACTCGTAACCTAGCTCCTCTACTAATCTTATGGTCAGCTTTCCTCACTAGTACCAAGTCGCTGAGTATCTTCCCTATTCAGGATAGATCTGCTAAGTAGCTCCTAGCTGAAAAAAAAATTCTAACTTCTCAAATCCTACGAAATTTCGACAGCGCTTCCCGTAAGAAAAATGTCTTTTCATAATTTCTACAAGTTCCAAAATGACTAACTTTTTCAGATCTGTAGAAATTTCGGCAGCGCTTCCCGTAGGAACAGGAGGCTGCCAAAATTTATACAAAGCTGAAAGACAGCAAGACAAAGCAAACTATACTTGGGACTAACTTCTGGCACTTGCTTCATGATTAAGGATCAACGATAGCCAGCACGACCTCTAGATGAGATTGTGGGCTAGCATTGATCCTAACTCCTAGCAGGGTCAATCCTATCTTCATCCCAAGTTCTCCCTCCCATCATCCATCTCATCTACCTATGGCTCCAGCACTTGGCAAGCGTCTAAGCAGCTAACCTATCAAAAGACACCCCAAAGTGAGAGCCCAAAAGCATGTAAAAACAAACATCTCTCACAATCCCACATAAGTTTAGCCCAAGTAGTTCGTTAGAACACTCAGGTTTTTTCCCTTAGTAAGCCCCCTTGCCTATGGCATACGATAAGGCTCGCCCGAAATAGAAGGGTGTAACTAATCTCCCTAAATAACAGATAAAGTACACACAACTGGATTGTCCTACCCTAGGGTGTGTCCAACATAACATACACTGTATACATAACGCATATGACCAGACCGCCCTACCCTACGGTACGTCTGGTTCCTAGCAACCCAACGACATGAAGCATAGGACCGGGCTGCCCTAACCCTTAGGGTGCCCAGTCCGCCTTATACAAGGTTACATATGGCATAAAATTAGATTATCCCTACCCTAGGGTACGTCTAATGGCTGAACATAGGTACAAATGACAAAAAGTCGGACCGCCCTACCCTAGGGTACGTCCTACTTACATCATATCAACGACAAAAGCATACCACTAGGCCGCCCTAACCCTTAAGGTACGCCTAGTTAACCATACAACAGGTAATATAGTACAGACACTTGCACATTTTTACGTCTTTCCTTCTCTTGCTAGGCAGTCGATCGGACCTTTCCAATAAATGGAACTTCCGACCCGCCTTCTTTGTTTAAAAAAGGAAAACTAAAATAGATTTATACTAACTCTAGGCTCCTTAGTGTTATCATGAACATACAACTGAACCGCCCTACCCTAGGGTACGTTAAGCCTGCCCAGTTACTTTCTTTTTATTCTTCACCTATTTCCCTTCTTTTTTAGTTTTACCTGACTTATTGACTGGCTTTCCCTACCCTAGGGTGCCTGGTCTGTCAGAAGTACAAGTTCAAAATAGTATGCGTATCAAGTTTAATACTTTGGTTGACCAATCGATTCATGCCTCATAGCTAAGCCGCCCTACCCTAGGGTACACTTAGTCTTATGCCCTTTGAACGCCTGAATTCTGAGCCTTCCCTACCCTAGGGTGCCCGTCCTCCTATTAAGAAACCCCAAAAGAAAGAGCAACTGACCCATCCTACCGTAGGTGGGACCAGCCATAAAAAGTCATTCACACAACCCAGCAAACATCAATAAAATACAGCACTGAGCCCACATCCACCCGGAGCAACTCAGCCTTGGGTTGACCCGGTCAAGCATGCAAAAYATTTTCATCCCACGTTCCCCCCAGTTCATTCTGTCTGAAATCACTCAAGTTTATCTGAACTCTCATATACTTGTTCATTTAGCCTCTCACAATGCCTGTCATGACCTACATAACAAAATAAGAAGTAATAACCTTCCATACTCATATTCAGATACCCAAGGATAGCAGTTAGGGGAAGGGATCACACACGTCAAACGAGATTATACCTGAAGTTCCCTGTCTCCAGAACCCCGCGTGGGCTCCGGCAGAGCTCCCGCAATCGGTGGGGCAACCTCCCACAGAAGCCTTGGCGCGGTCCTACGGGTTGCAATCCCGCCTGCCGCCCTCCTCTCGTAACCATAAACTAGACTGAGAGTAAGGAAGCTAGAGGTAAAAAGTTCAGACTCTCGAGTTCCAAGGGTGGTACGCTCAGACTCATGGGAGAGGGCCTTGTAGTCTTGGCTTGCCTGAGGGCCCCGCAATGGCGGCCAATGTAGCAGCTTGGTCACCTGAAGTGAAACTGTTAAACCCAACTCTCCTGACGAACTCCCAATTGCAGTAATACCTTCCCTTGTCAACCCTCCTTCACGCTGCAGCAACAGCCGTATAGTCTCCAAACGGTCGTAGTTACAACAGTGCAACAGTCTGCAGTAGACTCAACAATCGCTATTCGCAAACACCGCAGCCATACGGTCTTCAAACAACCATACTTGTAGTAGCGCAACAGTCAACAGTAAGCTTAGGAGTTGCTGTGGTAATCAGCGCAGCCGGAACAAGCCACAAGATGCCCAACATAGAATAGCAAGGGATGCGGCCGCCGTCAGGACACCTAGCACGTCTCTCTCCAATTGCAACTATAACGGCGTGCGGAATAGCAGGTACCAGCTTTGATACCAATACAATCAGCCTCACTTTCACTCCCACTTTAGGTCGCACAACAACTAGCGATAAGTGCCCACTCAGAACTCATAAAAATAGTAACCAAGCAGCGCAGCCCTGATATTGACTTACTGCGGATGGCTACGGCGGCATTTTGCCCGTACAACTCTTCCTCCTCCACTTGCCCAGCACCGTAGTTCACTAGTAGGATTCCCCTTGGATATCGTACACGCAGCACCCTGTACAGTTGCGCATGCCCGCACGCACCCAGAGTTATGGCCGCCGTAGCAACCCACCATTACTATGCTAGCACGCTATCTCTCTTTCAACCTACTTCAACTACAGGCAGCTATAGAGCTTCTTTCACAAATTACTCGGTCAGCGCTTCTGCGTGGCTCATAAAGGAATGGATGCATGGCTGAACGCTGCCTCTTGGTTTATACTTCGGTGGCCCGCTGATCTGGCCCCTTTCCCTCTTGCTGATGGGGCACACAGTCCCATGCGATGCTTGCTCAGCCAGGCCGGATCGACTGGGACTGTTGGCTGCACGGGGATATGCTGCCAACTCACTATAATCGCACCACTGGCCTACCTCGCCAGGATGAACAACACATCGCCCAAAGGTAAGTTTCCAACATCACCTCCGCAAGGCCTAGACTTCATAAATCAGTTGTGTCTCAGTCTGTGTTCGGCAGGCCATCATCCCCAGCACCCCGATTCTCAGTATCGTATAGTTGGCATCGCCGCTCTTCTTCCGGCTCATCTCGCACCACCAACCTTCACTTGTACTCGCCTTCTCTTTCTCTCCCTCTCCTGTAGCTGCAGGTACCCTTCCGCTTCAACTGCAGGAGCTGAAGAGAAGGACGAAGTTGAGTCCAAAGCTGAACATGGCCAGATACACATACCCCGTCGGCTGCTGCCTGCTGCAACCGTTTCCCACCATCCGCTGGAAAGGGAAGTCACTCTGTCACCGTCTCCAGATAACATCGACGAACCGAACTGCGCGCCTTCTCCTAACCAGGTAAGTACCCTCCCATTCCCTCTCTCTTCCTAATGTAGAAGGTGAACTCCTCGGCCAGGCTCATACGGCCGAGGCTATGCCCATGATGCGGAAGTTAAGACACGATAGAACCACGATAGTCGGATCAAAATCACAGTAGCCGGGGCTCTCTCTGTAACGCTCTTCTTTCCGTCCGTGGTCCCGCCCCTGCACCCGCTAGCTCATGGATCGCCCATATCAGTAGCGCTCGTCCTTTCAACGTACGGCAACGAAGATAGCGATGCCGAACGTGACCTTGCAACCCAACCGGGCGGATGACAATCCATGTGGTCATGACGATTACAATGACGAGTTACGACAACGTCGCAGTTACCAACTCGTGGATAATGAGGATGAATCTTCCGCTAGAACCCGGAAAGATACATCCTCACTTTATTTTAGTATTTATTATTACTATTTTCTTCGATGCAGCCCCTGCATACTGCCTCGTCGCTGTCTCTTATACACATCTAGATGTGTATAAGAGACAGACCATGTGGTACTCGTAGCCTTGCGGCCCTTGATAGTCTCGAGGGTCGCGTTCGACGCTCTAGTGTCGGCTGACAGGCGCTTTGAGGGGTTATCTCTCGA